CATCCGTCTCTGGATCTTGTCAAGAACTCCGAGGTAAACAGAAGGTACCCCAGACAATATATGGCAGCAATACTCCATGCAAGGGCGAATGGTTGATTTGTATATTTGAAGTATCGATTCCGGGGAGAAAAATTTCCTGGCGCGGCACAGAGATCCAACTATTGATTTTGAAATCGATTGATCGATGATTCTTCAAGAAATTTAGGCTCTGATCACATTGGCATTTTAGAACAATATTTGCGTTGTCTTAGAATTGTTGCCGCTATTTTGACTTACCTTATGGTGAAGTGATGATTATTTGAGGTCCTAAGTGAAGAGCAGCCAGTGAACTCGACACGGTGGCAAGGAGTTACCGAAACTAGCTTTCTGATTTTTCTGCCACAAGGAGGTGATTTTCCGTTTCTCATAAGGTGTACGAGGTCTGATCAAAAATTATCGGAATTGGTGCAATACAAAAAGAAAACTACAACACACATGAATTCGGCATTTAATCTCCTTCGAAGTAGTCGCCTTCAGAATCCAGGCACTTTATCAAGCGTCGTTTCCTTTGATTCCTGGAGCTCCTTTATTGGGATATAGTGAACATCAGCCTCATCGCATTGTTTTGGATTGCCTCGAAGTCTTGAAATTTTGTTCCTTTCGAGTGGAATTTTATTTTTGGAAAGGAAAAAAAAAAAAAAAAAGAGAGGAAGGGGAGATATTTGAGGAATCCGGAGAATGCTGTGATTGGCCAAAAACTGCTTCACAAGCCGTCGTCACTGATGGAATCTCTGCGGTGTGATGAGACGACCACACTCTACGCACTTTCTTTTGACACACTGCTATAAACAACGGAAGTGACCGAGAGAGTTACAACTTAGTGTGCATGCGCAACAGAGTTCGAGGTCAATCTGCGTAGAAAGTTTCACTCTGCGTACTTTATCTCCGTTACCATAGTGTTGTAGAGTAGTTTCACAGTGGAGGCTTGTATTTCACTAAGTCGGTCCTAAAAAGGTTCGATGTATAAAACGTTAGGAACTTGAAATAATAGTTAATGACGCAGCAATCTAGTTGTGGTGGTTGATACTTTAATGTCCGACATCGACTGACTGACCAATTCACTGAGCTCCCTAGCGACTGCTACTACTACTACTTATTATATGTGGGAGAGTCTATTAACAATAGAATAGGTATGTTCCGGTATAACACATAGTAAACTTCCCGGTACTTTTAGATCAGACCTCGTATCTTACCTGAAATATCAATCCATCTTTCAGTCACACCAACAAAAAAAAAAAAAAAAAAAACGAAAAATAAAGAAACTCTATTCAAATTATTCGAAAGTGTAAAGATGTCTTTATACATATATATGTACATCTACATTAGGTTGAATGTTGTTACAGTAATTTCTTTGAGATAAAATATTTAAATAATGATACGTGAGAATTCGCAGATTCTCCAATGAATAAAAGCTTCATTAAAACGTTTATATTAACACTGTCGTGAAGGTGTCACGTATAAAGTACTGCAATATGATACGTGAAAATATTTACCAGTAAGGACACTTGATAAAAAAAGATTATGCTTTTAATTATTTTCTCGGTTCTTTTTCACTGTTTTTTTTTTAACATAAGAGGGGAGAAATAGGTACATTGTTGATATTAAAGTTCCTTTCATTCATTTTAATAGGTTATTTTTTAAAGTATCGAAGGAATAAGAAATACATATTTCCGGCGTTTATAAATGCAGTTTTGGAACATCCCCACGTAAAAACTGTAAAGGGGAGATAACTTATACCAAATTAAAAGAAATTAATATTTTTAAAAGTATTTCGAACAGAGCATCTACGAATGTATTTTTGAAAACCAGCTCTTGATGGTAAGTTTGTCAGAAATGGACATGAGAGAGAGAAATATATATATATATATATATATATATATATATATATATATATATATATATATATTCACTTTTGTTCGAAGAAAAGTGTAACGTCCCAATATATAAAATCTTCACACGGCAAATATAAATTATTTTAAATTAAAATATTGAACTTTTACAGACTTTGTAAGCATTCTTAGGTACTTTTTGTAGAATGAAAAAAAGTTCTCAGTTTTCAAAAATTTTATATTTTCTCAATGTTTGATATTTTTCTTCCATTTTATTGAAGCGGAAACATTTTCTGACTTCCATTCAGTTCTAAAAATACTATGAGAATTAATCTAAGGAAAAAATGTTAACACCTTAAATACCCGCATTAAAAAAAAAATGTGTTATCGAAACTTTATATCAAGAAAATGTTGTGTACCTATTCATTTGACTATTGTATTATTTAAACGGTTTATTTTATTAGAAAAAATGGAAGATCCATTGTTACTCAAAGACCTAATCATTTCCTTTTGGACATTCGTACACTCGAAGACTGAAAGTCTCTTGACTGGTTCAAGACATTTGAGATTTTTTTATATGCCGCTTCCACACAAGACGTAGGCGAAAATGGCTCTTGACAATTTCCTGTCATTTGTAGCTCTTAATAAATCTTGGCTTTCCGTTATTCCTCCTAAACCCTTTTTCGCCATCCATCTAGTTAAGCTCAAGTATGTTATGCGCTGTTTTCCTTTATCCCTCTTGCCCTCAATCTGTCCTGTGAGTATCAGATTTTCCAAGACCTACTTTCTCGTTGTGTGCCCCAGAAATTTCATGATGTTTAGGATGTTTCGATTTTCTCTAAAACCTCGTCGTTGCTCACATGTTCGGTCCATGGTATCCTCAGCATCGTTCTGTTACCTTAAATCTGTTCATCTTTGAGGAGTTTCTGTTTCATTTGACAGTCGTATAACAGAAAGGATAAACATTATCTTCAGATTTGGTTAATTTAACCCATTAATATCCACTGTAAAATTCAGTATCAATTATAGGTTTCTAAAAAAAAAAAAAAAAAAATGATTATAGGTCCCTATGTATAACTCATGAACGTCCCCTTTCCCCTAAATGTAGCAGTAGACATTGAATCAACGATTTATCAACCGTCGTTTGTTACGTAACGTTGAATATGCCAAAAGTCACTATGAATTAATAAGAATGTAGACATCGGATACATTCATAGCGTAGTGGTTATTTCAGCGGGAAGTGGAATTGGCGTACAGAGTTCAAATTTCGGCCCAGTTTGTAAGGTCCGCTTTCACACAAATATGTTTGAGGAAAGTTATGAATTCATCTCTTCTCTTCCTAATGTGTTAAATAAGCGGACAGGCTGGCCACTCTAGTCTTGGCAACAAGTCTAGGAGAAGGACAATTGTGAATTCAAAAACAGTTGGGCGTGGGCAACTCAACCCGATAAAAAAGGGAAAGAAACCCGAGTATAAAACTGGCTCCGTACACCACAGGAGATTCAGGGCTGGCAACGCTACTACGTGAAAAATTGCAGTAGAACTCATTGTAGCAACATCTTTTAATCGTCTGTGAGAACCCTTTTTACATTCCACCAGCATGGCTGATGCTAACCTTTAGGAGAGTGACTAGTTGCGCCTTCTCGGACTAAAGTTTTCCATTTGATATTAAGTGGAAAGTATATTTAATCTATTGCTAAGTCTGCAGATAGGAAAGTTGGTTCACTGTATCGAGTAAGACAATCTTGTCAGAATCTTTTACATATTTATAAGTCTACCATTCGTCTTTGTTTTGAATATTGCTGCTACGTCTAGTCTGGTGCTCCTGCTATCTATTTAGAGATTTTTGATAAAATCCAAAGAAGAATCTGCAATGTTATTGTTCCTGTCCTGCTATCTCGGCTTCAGTCACTTTCCTACCGCCATAATGCAGCTTCTCTATGCCTTTTCTATAAATAATTTGATGGCAGTTGTTCTGATGAACTTTTGTCTATGGTACCTAGGGTTTATGAATTTAAGCAGCGTGGTCTCATCATATTAAAGTTGAAATGGCCAAATGTAACCGTAAGTTCTATGCTAACAGTTTCTTCTGTCGTTCTTCTCGTTTGTGGTACTCTCTTCCAGTTTCTTCCTCCCGTCAATTTTGATCTTCAATAAATTAAATACTATGTCAATCGTTATCTTCTGTCTTCTCACCGTGTTTGACGGCATATAAGGTGCATTTTTTTTTTTTTTTTTTTTTTACTAAAAAATATTTTTTAAAATTCCCCTGCGTCTTATATGCGACGTTATAGGTTTAAAATTAGAGATAGTCGGCCGAAATTAGATGACGCATTATTTAACGACGATGATAATAGTATTGAAAATGAGTATCAGTTTCGATAACGAAGACGACGAATTTAATGGATTTGAAGATGAATAAAATTTTAGTGGTAACTGTACCATTTTGCTCAATTGTAATAATTACTTGGTTTTTATTTTATTTCACCTTTGGATATAATAAAGTTTTTATAGGTTCGTCGTCTTTTATTTCCTATTTTCGTTTAATTGTAATCATGGCTTGTTTAACCAAAATAATACCTCTTAAATATAGCCTAGGCTGTAGTATTTACTAATAATTTTACTAATTGCTAATTTTTTCTTGATTTTTTTCCCTGCTGAAATTGGGGTGCGTCTTATACACAGTCAAATACGGCGATTATTGTTATTTTATTGTCTTCTCTCCTTAATAGTATATTTTTTCTCGTATTCGCTAAAATTCAGTAACTTCTTGCGTCTTAGTGGCTTTATTGTCTTGCTTGGGGTGAAATGATAACGAAAACACCTATCGTTGTGAGACTGTGGTCATATACTCCATAGTGTCACTGAAAAGGATTCATAAGTTTAGTTTACACTAGTCTGTAAGTATCCAGCCAGAATGTGACTCTTTTTGAGGTTGTCTGCACTTGATGCATTCACTGTATACTAATCTTCACAAAGACGACGGTCAGTATTTATAAAATGTCTGTGCGAAGAGCTACAATGTATGTACGATTCAATTACTTTAATTTATAACCGATCATATTTGTCGTGTGAGTAAATAAGTATTTTAGTGTATGCTTTTGAAAATGAGTCGTGTTTGTTTTAGCGAAGTTAAGGATAATATCCTAGTGATTGTTCAAAGTTCAGATCTGCTTGTGACGCATAGCGCGGGACTCTTGGGTTTCCACTTGGAATTTCCATGTGTTGAAACATGGAAGCGATTTCGGCTTCTTTTTTGCGCATCATATCGTCGCCAGCTCCATTGGCTTGTTCCGACTTTCTCTTTTCGCCGCTTGTCTTTGATTGGTCACCGTCGTAATAGGAATGTGGTCTCCTCTCCATACCGGGCGGTCCACCAAAATCCGCTCCGATGTATCTACGATCGACGAAAGGTGGGTTACCGTTTTGGTTTCCATATTCGTGCGAGTATCTATTGTTATAATGGCTGTAGATATCCGATTGGCTTACCGGGAGGGCTGAGCTATTACGATAGTAGTCAGAAGCCGGAGACTGGCTATAGTTTCCAGGCTTCGTGTTGATCACAGCCGCACCCGGATGTTGATAGTCACCGTAGTTGTTAAGCGGGAACTGATTAGAATATCGATTGTTGGGAACGTTGTTGTTGTTGTTGTTTGTGGCTTGATTTCGAAACTGTACCTTCTGTTTCTCCCAAAATGGATCGTCGTCATTTTTGTATGTTGGCTTTGGTGAAATAGGTCTTTTGGGTAGTTCGAAAGATGAAGGCAGAACTTTTACCCCAGCAATTTTGTGGGGAGGCACTTTTGCCACGGGTTTACTGTGAGCCTCTGTTAATCCGCCCGCAGTGTTAGTTTCGTTGAGCTGCTGTCTGCTTTCAAGGTTCGACGCAGAGAACGCGGGCCCACTGTTGGTGGGAGATGCCGAACGAACTTCGCGTCTTGGGATGTGACTCGCCTCTTGAATATGACTGTAAGGGCCAGCGTTTACACCAGAATTTCTTGTAATTTGCGAAGGTAGATCGGTGGTGGATAATGCCTGTCGGGGATCTATTCTTCCCATGGGGGCTATGTTGTTGCTTCCTGCGAGGTTATAGTTGTTTTGAGGTGCGTGTGCCACTGATAGTGGCCGTCCGTGATCATTGGTTTGACGTTCATAGGGCGAAGCTCCTGGTGCATTCCATAACTGTTCGTCCTGACTGTGGGATATTGGCATTGGTTCGTATCTCGGGTAGCTATAACGAGGGTCGGGTGGATAATCTCTCATCCTTTCCTCGTACGAGCTACCCCTAGAATGGTTGACTGGCAAATTGTGAGATGCCGAAAGTGGTGGCTGGTGTGGAGATTGTTGTTGCGAGGATGACTGATTAAAATAGGAAGATATTGGTCTTCCTCGTTCTTGGATCTCACCATAACCTCTCGGTGGGTAGTTTGGCATTGGTCCACCTGCAACTCCTGCCGCCATCGGGTGGTGGTTGTGATAGTTCAACCCGCCAAAAGATGCGGATATTTGCTGCTCACTTGTTTTCGGTAATTTGTCCGCTCCTACATTTCCTCTGAAATGTTCGTCTCTTAACTGATATCGACCATCATGAGGATGATTGGAATCAGGTATGGCCGATGCTGGGTAAGCGGGATTTGTATACGGTCGGTAGTCAGGTCTGTGGACTCCGTCCCACGGGCTTCCGGGTGGCGGTGCGTTGGCTTTTGGGGGAACGGTACGAAACTCTCCTTTGTACTCGCTTTGTGAAGCCAGCTGTTCCATATGTGTAAACGAGTCAACGATTTTCATGGCGTCTGTCGGGGAGAGCGAAATAAATACGTGACAGTCGAGCGCCTTAACGCCCGCTTGCCTTCGCATCAAGCAGACGACAATCGGCTGGTGGTTCATCTTCAGTAAATAACTATTCTTTTTTTCTAATGTTGAAAACAGCTTTTCCGGGGAGGTAACTGCGCGTTTCTCATCCAATGGCATAAATGCGAATTGGGTTTTTCGACTATTATTCTTATGTGTAAAGAGAACCGCCTCAACATAACTCACTTGCTGAAATTTGTAGAGAGTACTCTTCAACTGATGGCCTTGACCGTTACCATCCGGAGTCAGCATGTTAAGTCCTTCACGGGTGATTTGCATGTATACCTCGGTAGGGGTCTTGGTCTGTTTCTTTCGGAAGCTAAAGTAAAGTTCTTTAAGGGGTTTTTGAATGACCCCTAATCCAGTGGTCCCTTTCGACAGTACCGAACAGCCCAAATAATGCAAAGTGTATGTTTGTTCGACCATCTTCAATATTTTCTTATAACCTGCAATAAAAGAAAAATTAACATTTTAATATTTCGATAAATAAGATGTGCACAAAAAAATCCATATCATATATAAACGAAACGCTCCCCTGTGGCTAAATCGGTTAAGGCATGTCAGGCTATATGACGGTTCCGTGTAGGATACAGGTTCCATTCCTGTCGGAAGACACATATTTTCTAAGAAAATTTCTCGGACATTCAGTTGTTAAGACAATTTACTTAAATATTTGTATCTATAAAAAAGAATGTATAAACATAAACATGTCTTATATATATATATATATATATATATATATATATATAATGACCGATGCGTACTACCGCCGAAACTCCCGAGTTGGGAGGACAAACCTGTTTGTGGGACCCAAGCAGTGCTTTGTGACCCTCGTTACCTTATCAAATTTTTTTTATTTACCTTTATATACATTACCAATTAAAATAAGCACAACTGACTCTTAAAGAATGAAACATTTGCCGGCTTGAATGTCTGAGAATTCTTTATAGAAAACCGTCATATAGCCTGACGTGCCTTAACCGATCGAGCCACAGCGGATTGCTCGATTAACAAGGCCGATTTTACTGCTTTTAAATTTCAATCTTCCATGAATCTCTCACGTACATTCATATCTGCTCAAAGCTTATCCAAATGTAAACAAATAACGTCACACATTATGAAATGGACAAAGTCCGACAACTATTTTAAGACATTTTTATGTTTATACATTCTTTTTATAGATACAAATATCGATCGGTTAAGACAAGTCAGGCTATATAACGTTCCGTATAGGATATAGGTTCGATTCCTGTCGGAGGACGAATATTTTCTATGAAAATTTCTCGGACATTCAGGACGGTAAATGTTATTTATACTGTTTATAATAAACAGAACATTTTACTTAAATATTTTATATATATATATATATATATATATATATATATATATATATATATATTATATGACCTTTTTGTGGGCCCCAGGCAGTGCTTTGTGAACCTCGTTACCTTATCAATTTTTTCTGTCTACATTTATATACATTACGAATTAAACTAAGCACAACTGACTCTTAAAGAATATGTGATCGTATTTCTTCTTTTTTTTTTTTTTTTTTGGTCTAAATTCGTGAATTATTTTTACTCATGTTAAGTCTAAAAAAAAACACTATAAAATTTTTCATCCATAATGTTGAATGTGTTAAAATTATTTAACTTTTAACAGGAACAATCTCAGGTTGATTTTAAGAATTGCCGCGAAACATTGTTGATTTATTTAAGATGGAATGATCGATTATGACAGGTCTCTAATTTGTATTTAGACATAATTTATGTTCAATTTTTTTAGTTGAATTTTTCACCTATATTACATATGATCCGTTATTGTCCATAATTAGATTACAATAAAAACTTGTATTTTATATGAATACTACCTTATGAATACAGTGGGGTGTGCACGAGTCCTTTGCACCGGATATATATATATATAATATTGTGAACAATAAAAAATATTAAAAAAATTCAAATTTTCAGACACGCTGGGTTGCATATTAATATTTTTTGTTTTATTATTCCAATTACGTTCCTTGACTAGTTTCGGCCAGTATGGTCATCATCAGGAGGAAAAATCCCTGTTTGTTAGTAGCAGTGAACTACAGGAGTGAATGACTGTTTCTGAAGAATACAATCTTTATCTGTAATTTTCATTTTTTTTTTTTTTTTTTTTTTTTTTTTAAATCGTTAATTTTGGTCAGTCCTTGTGTTGGTCAAACGGTCTCTTTCAAGTTGTTTTTAAGATAGAGGATAGGAGATTACTGACTTTAAGAATTCCCTCCTTGGTCATTTTGACAGTTTTATTAGTTGCAAGGGATGGGATGTGTGTGTTAAGTGTATATTATTTGAGTGTGTAATGTGTGTAAAAATGTGAGACCTCAACACCTTTGCAAACAAATCTGTCTTGTGTAGGGATTGATTTATGGCGTTATATATTAATTCTATCTGTTGTTAAGCCTGTCTAGACGAAGTGTTTAGAGGCGCAAAATCCATTTGTCTTCATGTTCCTCTAGTATTTTTCTAAGGTTATCTTTTCTGTCTATTTCTATTTTTTCAATGATAGTAAATTTTTCATGGCTTTTAAAATCATGTTTTTCTAGGCGGAAATATTGTTCTACAGGTTATAATCTTTCGTAGGGAGACGACTTGATCCGATTCCGATAATTATTAATTCTGAAGTGAAAGGGCCATTCAAATTTTACCACATATTGTTTCTGGCATATATATATATATATATATATATATATATATATATGTCTGAGGAAAATGGAGAGATATGCAGATAGAAAGATGCATAGAAATGGCTGGAATAAGAAAAAATCAAATCATGAAAACAAAAATCCCTTCCTGGTGATAATTTCGCCATTTCCGGATCAACCAATACCGGTTTATTGATCCTGTCGTGTCGGGCTGACCTACTGTCACTGTTCAGAGACCATGGCGAAAGTCGCCCAGGCCTTTGATCTGTTCCCGCACTCCGCTCATCTACCCTTGCGCACAGTTGGGTGGAGTTCGATCCGCACGCATGCTATTTTTCTTCATAAAAGCTTAACACCTCCATTATTCCAAGAGAAAATCACCCACCAACCCGTGCATTTATCCGTCGACCTCCTTTTAAACACACATCACATGATTGCATGATTCATAGTACTTGCATGAAAGCTATTGGGTCGATTACTGTACGGCCTCATCTGATTGATTGGATAGTATGGAAGGCGCCATCAGGTGAACAGAGAGACACTGTTTTGCAAAATATGGCGCCTTACACTCGCGCACAACAGTAATTGGTAAATATTTACATAGCACCAACTAAAATTTGTCAAATGAATACGATCTTGAACCCCCTCACCAACACACACGCAAAAAAAGGCCGTTATTGTTTTCCTGATCACCCTCGCTTACTAAAGGTTATAAAATAGTGGTCTGGATTACGTTAAAATGCAATTGTTATATATTTTTTTTTAAAACCATTTCAACCCAAGGAAGGCGGGAATGCCACTGGTGCGCAAGGGGTTACAGAGAGTGAAAAAGAGAGAAGACTATATAGAGGGAACCGAAGAAATGATGAAAATTGAACAGAGTTTAAAAAAAAATAGATGGCGATTGACGTTGCATTAAAATTTTTGAAGACTGAAGTTATCAGGGAAGCAAGGAAACGGAATTCCAGTCGGGAAGTGTAAGAAAAGAATCTGTTGGAGTAGAACTAGCGGTTACATTTAGCTAATTCGACAGTAAAAGGGTGTGGTCTAGATGCCTGTCTAGTATCACACTTAAACTCACTTAGTGAGGACACCAGGGGGCGGGGGGAAGCTCGTCAGAGCAGTTGCTATGAACATATTTGTAGAAAAGCCAGAGGGAAACCACCTCCCGTTATATATATAAAATCGGTGTATTCAGATGCTGGTAGTTATTAAATAAATTGCTGACAATGTAAAAGCATGTATATCGGAGAGACATCACGATATGTGAAAGCCCGTGTCTACGAACATAAAAGATTTACGTTTAGATAATCATTCAAACTTTATCGTAATACATAAAAAAACAAACTGGCCATATTTTTGATTTAACAAATGCTACCTGATTTTTTTTTTCTTAAAAAAAAAACCCCCCAAAAAAAAAACATAATATTTTACGTAGAAAGTACTCCCAGGGCCTACTAATAACAATATTAGAAACTATAAACATACGTCGAAAACATTACATCACCAACATTTTTTTTAATGTTTCAAAAGAATATAACGTATGTATGTAAAAGCATTCCCAAATCAGCATGTGAAAAAACAATGAACATAATGTCTAATAAACACACACACAAATTTTACGGCTTTCAGTTCGGCTTAATTTCTTGAAGGTTTGTATCGACTCGTCGATTCTCCTTGCATTCGTAAGGCCATAAATTATACGAACATTTGTTTAACAAGTCAAATGCACGTAAAACCTGATTAATCAATGAAAATCAAACACAATAGTAAAAATACAGGAAGTTATTTTTTCCTCCACTTCTCAGTTTCTGATGAAGCTTTAATAACGGTATATCGATAAATGTTTCCTATTTGTTGTTTATTCACACACACACACACACATTTTTTATATATTGATACAGTGTAAAATCAATCCGTGACTTTTTCACACCGTTATTAGACTTCGCTGTTATTTACAAATGTCATGTCTGAAACTGTGCTTACATCTTATATATATAAAGAAAGAACAGTAAGATATATAATCCGGTGTTCTTATTGATATTTACAGAGCATAAATATTATAAATTAACTGATTGAGAATATGGTTTTTTTGCTACACAGTAATAACCATGTTTCAAAAATGGAAGCTAAAAACATTAAATTTAATTATATAATTAAAAGCATTAGTTCCATTTCATCTTCAAGCGAATATTGGAATAACTTATTTTTAAATTTACTGAGTTTTAAATGCACATAAATTCATAATTTACAATTTCCAAGGATACAGAGAAATCCAATCATTCAGACAGTGCCGGTAGCGTGTTCATTTTTATTAACTATTATTGTATCAATTATGAGTTACGTTCGAAAAAGAGGTTAAGTTTACGGAGGGTAGGGGTGTATTTTTCAATGAATTCTGACATCCGTTAAACGCATATCGTCTGGGTTTTTTTTTTTTTTATTAACGGCAAAAAGGTTTTCGGCATTTTTTTCTTACTTGTATACTTAAAGATTCTTTTTAGGTGTGTTGGTGTTAGAATACATTATATATATCCCAAGGTTTGAATTAAGCAGCTGTAAATAGTCTGCCCAAAATTATCCTTCTGTC